TCATATTCAAATAACCCAATGATTAATTTTTTTAAAAAATGTGGCATTCCAACACATGCCACATGGCATTTCAACAATTATAAACAATTACAAGTAACTGAGATTAGAATAAAGTCACTATGTCAATTTTTAAAATTACGTGCAATAGAGAGTTAAATGTTTTGGGGTTTAAGCATATGTGCTATCAACATAATCACACAGTGGTTAATTACAGTGTAGTTTCAGTCCAGTTGATCCCCGGTTACAGTGAAGTCATGTTTTTCAATGATTAATTGATACCAATACAAATATGAAGTAACTTTACCAGTATTCCAGTTATTCCCATTTTATGCAACACATGTACATTCTACATCTGAATTCCACATACACGTACAGACACAGAAGTTCATATATGTATATGTTTACGTGTATGTGTATGTATCTCAGACACTGTATTCACAGGAACCATTGCATTCGCACTGTGATTATTCCCAGCCATGTTCTTTGTGGTTATGTGAATCAGTGGTAATTGTAGGATAAAAAATTACTGGTATAACTATGCTATAATTTCAGTGTAATTGCAGTCCTTGTATTATGAATTTTTTAACCAAATATCAAGGCTGTACTTTCAAAATAGAGTATTTAAGTGCAACCATTGCATGAAAAAGCTTGAAACTTCATTTCACTTTCTGAAAGTTTCCCTTCTCTCCCACAAGAGCACTTTTCTTGTTTGTTTGGGTTTTTTTTTAATAACTAGAAAGAAGAATCTGTGGGTAACTGAAAAACTCATACATGAAATATGCTTGGCAGGAAAAGATTACAGAAAATTAGCCTTTTTCTTCAATTGCAGAATTGAGAATTATTAAATCCTATTTCTGTATTTTTTTTCTGAAGAGATTTACAGTAAATACAACAGTTGTTGTAACACATCTTTATAAAATACTATAATAGGCTGTTTTCCCCTTTGGATCTTACTTTTAATCAGTTTAATTCTAGTATTACTTCCATCTGTCACTTTACTGAAGATGCACGCAAGTTACATTCCATCTTCAAACTGAAAGAGAAAATAAGAAATATTTCTACACTGGTGTTTGGCCACAAAAATGGGTCCAACACCTTTGTGCTTCCAAAAAATACAATGAAATAATTTATTAGTATAAACAGAGCAGACTGTTGCTTTTCACAGAAAGAAAGGTGGTTACTGTAGTTATGTATCTCTAAGAAAGGACCAATTAATTTTGCAGCCAAATAGTAAGAACAGCTTTTAATTCCTAGAGTATAGCAACCCAGCCTAGGATGCTCAGGAACTAGTGCATGATTGGTAATTGTCTTGTTGCACAGCATGGCAGCTGTAGTTGAAGCCCCCTGTAGCTGACTGTGCTCCTCAAGCACAGGCTTCCCAGCTTCTAAAGACCAGCTGCAATAAACCCCATGTTTCAAAACAGAAGATCTGATGTGCTTTGTCCCACGCTGAGTTCCCCTTGATAGTCACATCACAGGCTGCAGCTGGGGAATGTGCTTTTGGGAAAAACAGCACACTGGGAGACATGTACCATGGCCACAGCCTATCATTACAGGCCCTCTCACACTTCTTCTTCACCACATGCCACGCTGAGCTGATAAGTGTGATCTTGGATGCTGGAGTGAGAGGAGGCAGCAGCACTGCCCTGCTGGTGATGTAAAATGAGACAAGAAGCTGTTCAGTAAGCCTGAAGTTCCCCGAATCAGGGATTTAATCCATTGACTGTTTATTCCTAAAATGTTTAATTGTTAGTGCAAATGTCAGATAACAGTGTAAAGATCTACAGGACTGCTTTCTTAGTATCCTGAAGCTTATGACATCATTTCCAAAATCAGAATTGTATATTTACAAATCAGCATATCAATACACATAGTAAAGTCAGGATCAGATGAAACCCATGCCTTCATATGTAACTGTGTAGCACTGTTAAATATTAAAAGAGGGCACATGCAAAAGTTGGATATATGAAATAAGTATGGTGCTTTCAATGCACAACTGAGTGATAATATTACTGTTCTGTGCTTGGTATTAAATGTGTTTTCAGTTTAAATTCAAGGTGAATGTAAAATAAGGTCTCTTTACAGATGGAATTATTCTCTTCCATTTATCTTACGAAGAATAGCATACATTCTTTTCTAAAACAGCAGACCATAATTTGACCAACTGGTGTTGGTGGTAGTGATAAACAGGGAGACAGAAGGACAGGGAAGTTTATCACATCAACTAGAAACCAGGAATAAAATTCTATGGTTTGGAAATGCTATAAAGTGTGCTCATGAATCATAGAAAGAACATATAGCCACAGTGATTTGTACTTTACAGAAAAATTCTGATGTCTGAAGAATTTGGGATAGTTTGTGCTTTTTTGCAGCAAAGGAACTCGGGGGAGAGGGGGCACTAAATCTGGGACTTCATAAATTTACTTTTAGCACCATGGCAGTGAATATGCTTCTAGCATGTAGCTGCTAGTCAGCTTCTCCTTAGTAACATACCCACTTCACAGATAGTAGGAAAGTTTATACTAAAATGGCAATTCTAAAATGTTAAACAGAAGACCTGTAGAATAAGTCTAGTACCAGGAATTCAGATTGTCATGTAAGAATTTTAGCAAAAAAAAATTAGAAAATTCTTTCCCATTGCACAGTTTGATAGTAATGGGAAAAGCTCGTAACTGTTTTCTCTTGTGGACGCAAGACTCAGGTTTAATGCCTAAAGTAGAATGAAACTCAAGATGATCAAAAGCAGATACAATTTTATTTATCTTAGAATAGATAATCAATAATCATAGAATCATAGAATGGTTTGGGTTGGAAAGGACCTTGAAAAGTCATCTAGTCCAACCCCTGGCAATAAGCAGGGACATCTTCAACTAGATCAGGTTGCTCAGAAGCACATCCAGCCTGGCCTTGCATTTTCTAGGGATGGGGCATCTACTACCTCTTTGGGAAATCTGTTCCAGTGTTTCATCACTGTCCTGGGTTGAGCAGCAGCAGTCGTTTTTCTCCTTCTTAGTAGCTGGTGCAGTGCTGTGGTTTCGACTTTAGCCTGATAACACACCGGAAGCGGGGGCAGGGAAGAGGGGGAAAGAAGGGAGGGGAGTGAGCAAGCAGCTGCATGGTTCTGAGTTACTGGGTAGGCTTAAACCATGACAACCACCCTCACAGTAAAAAATGTCTTCCTTATTTCTATTGTGAATCTACTATCTTTTTACTTTAAAACCATCATCCCTTGTCCTGTAGCTATAGTGCGTCCCCATCTTTCTTATAAGCCCCCTTTCAGTATTGAAAAGTTGCAGTAAGGAATCCTTGGAGCCTTCTCTTCCCCAAGCTGAACAAGCCCAACTCTCTTAGCCTGTCTTCATAGGAGAGGTGCTCCAGCCTTCTGATTATTTTTGTGGCCTTTCCCTGAACCTGCTCCAACAGGTCCACGTCTGTCTTACAGTGAGAGCCCCAGAGCTGAACGCAGTACTCCAGTGGGGTCTCACCAGACCAGAGCAGAGGGCCAGAATCACCTCCCTGGACATGCTGGATGCGCTTCTTTTGATGCAAGAACACATTGCTTACATTGTGCACATCTTAGGAACCTGAAGACCTGGCTTCTATTATGTGATGTAGAAACTGCATATGCTCAGGTTTGAGTAAAGATGCAGTAGTAATGGAACATGTCATACTGGAACAATTTCTTTCACATTGAACAGAGCATGGTTGCACCAGACAGGTCTAATATAGAGACTACAATCCCAACAGGCTTCCTGACTGCTGCAGGTTACTTCATTCACAGTGCACGTCTTTCAGTTTTCACAACATGCCCTCAACATGTTTTTTGAAAGGACAAATGGACAGTCAGTATGAAATGGCTGTGCCACTCAGTATTTTCATAGCTTTTATGGCTGTTCTCACTTGCTACTTTCTAAACAAAACATTCTAACCTTCTCATTTTTGTTCTAATCAATGTTTTCAGACATCTCTGAACTCAAATTTCTGTAGTCATATACCTGTTTGAGATAGAAGTGTCATAACCTGAAAACTATTTCATATGAGAGAAAACAGAGATGTAGATAGACAAGTTAGTATTCTACTACTGTAATTTTTCTTCCAATTTTGTATGTCTCCTTACATTTTTCTATTTAACTTTTTGTTGATTCATATTCAGTGAAGCTTTACATGTTCATCATAACCACCAGATGTCTTTCCTGAGGAATCAGTCAATGCAGAAGCCATCATTAAGTCTGTGTATAACACCTTACCATTCTTATCTGTTGTCTACATTATGCAAATTCCCTTCCCTAACTATTCTATGAGGCAATCTTTATAGTATTAACATGTGTTAACTTTGTCAATGTATATTAGTCCACATTACATCCTGCAATGTAATTAGGTAGTGGAATTTTACTGGAGACTTTGGTATTGTTCGTTCTCAAGAGAACAACCAATGGACATCAGCTCATTGCAAGGACTAATAGGACAGCCCAGCTGTGGAAAAAGGCCACTGGGTATTGAAAGCTTAGTTCTGTCCATGAAGGATAAAAGAACAGCCAAGATAACACCAACATCCTAGCCACTCTAACACGTCTTTGAAACTTTCCCAGCATCATCTGGCATCATAGATAAGTAACTGTGGCAAGACCTATGTCTGAATCAATAGACAAGCAGCCAGAATGCTGCAGAAATACAGTTGCTTTGCAAAGTTTTACTATGATTAGAAATGGCTGGTGTTGTGTTAGTGATTAGTCAAATCGTGTTCTAGCTGACACTTCAGGTGTCAAGAGCAAGGGTACCTCAATTTGGCTGGGACACCTCACATGCATGAATAAATATTTACCCTTGTAATTCTGTACTTTGCATCCTTGCCTCTCTCCTTGGTCAGCAGGAGCAAGCTGCAAATTTTCAGAAAATCTAGTAAACAGAAAAAAAAATAAAGAAAATTAACTGTCATTATACAGATTGTCTGGTTGTCTCCATTAGCTTCCTCTTGATTCGGAGAAAACTCCAGGAACTCCCAACAAAGTTTTAAGTTGACAAGCAGGTATTCTTTATTGCGGCACCAGGAGACATGGGGAATAGCTCCTCCAAACGTGTCTCTCCCAGGCATCAACCAGGCTGTGATTATATTGCCCTTAAACATACATATTCATTAGATTACATACATTACATCATACTTCTTAGAGAACGCCTCCTGTATGCATACAAAAATGTGGTTGTGGGCTTTTGGACCCCCGGTGGTTATTTCTTCATCACTTTGGTTTAGGATCATTTTCATATCAGTAACCACCAGGTGGTTCTGGCAAAGCTTATCTTAGTAATTTTGCTTTCTCTATACTTGCTAACAAAGCCTAATGTTCTTGAGGTTACTTATTTACAACCCAATTCTTCAATCAACCCCATTCTTCAATCCACCTTATTTTTCAATCAACCCCACTCTTCAATCCCCACTTTTTCTTGTCCTATTGCAAATTCTTTTGGAACTGAGTTATTTCATTTTTATTTAAAGTTTTCTGAAGTATCTCCCTGTTTCTATTTGATGTTTAATTTTGATTCTCTTCCATTCATCATAGTTCATCATGGTTTGTTTGCAACACCAAAAGGAGCATTGGACCATTATGCATGTAATTACAACCATGCCAATTATTACAAATACAGTAAAAAACAACTGTGTCAACCAGGAGAGACTGGGTACCCGTGATGTTAATTTTTCCCAAATTTCCTCAAATCCCCACGAGGTGTTGTCCTGCGCCACCTCATGAAATATTTTAACTTGTTTCCACATTTCCTTTAGATCAGTAGTAATTCTTCCACTTTGATCTATGTAGGAACAACATCTATCATTGATTACAGAACAAACTCCTCCTTGGGATGCTAACAGTGTATCTTATGACATTTGATTTTGGAGCACTACTGTAGACAGGCTAGTTATTTCTTCTTGCAATGCTAGAATAGCATCAGCAGTTCAATTTCCCATTTCCTCAATTGCAGCTGAGATATTTACATTGCCCAGCTGCAATATGGGTAATTTCCTACTGACATGTTGCCTTGATTAAGAGTTTTGTTAGTGGTTACACATTTAACTTCTGACATATTTGAGGCTTGTATCCTTAAAACCTGTAAATTTGTATGGCCCTTGTAGGCGTAAAGAGCATCTCTCCATAATCTATTCCAATTTGTGTTAAAGGGGATAGGGAGGCCAATTAAAGGAATACCCAGTCTCTCTCCTGATTTAGGTAGCTGAGTACAGACCCAACAATCACTCCTGTTTAAGACATTAGTAACATTTTGTATCAGTCTCAGATACAGATTTTGATTCCATGCTTCTATACCTATTATTATACAAGTTCAAATTATGATCGATGTAGTCTCGTATGTGTGGGTCCTGAAGACTCAACATGCCATACTTTTTCTCTGTTCTGATGTGTTTCTGGTTCTTGAATAATGTATCCAAGCAGGTTGTTCCTGTATCTTCACTGCTGTAAAGGTGGTCAATATTATCTCGTACAGTCCGCTCTATTTCTCCTGTAGAGAATCTCCTGAAAAATTCTTAACATAGACCCAGTCTCTGGATCTAAAAGGGTGAGTCGGGTAATTCATGCTTCTCACTCTTGTCCCCAGTGTTCTCATATTTCTTCTAATTGTTTTCCCAGATTGACCAGAAACTCTCAGAGATAGCCTTCTCCCACTTCCAGAAGACTTTCTCCTTTAAACTGGGACTGATATGGTCTTCCATATAAAATTTTACATGGTCTAGCTGCTTCTTCCGACCAAGGTTTAGTTCGAATTCTTAATAGAGCCAGTGGTAAACCTTGGTACCAATATTAATTCATTTCCTGACATATTTTACCAATCTGTTGTTTGATCAGATGAACCATCTTTTCTACTCGCCCACTGGCCTGAGGCCTGTATGAAACATGTAGTTGCCAATCAATTCCTAATTTTTTGCTTATTTCTTATAACTATTTTGCGCTAAAGTGTAAGCCTCGGTTGGAAGAAATTGCTTCCGGTACTCCAAAACAAGGTATTATATCGTTTAATAATGTTTTAATTACTCGTCTTGCATTATTTATTCCACAAGGGAATGATTCTGGCCACCCTGAAAAAGTATCTGTTAATACCAACAAATATCAATAACCTCCTTTTCTAGGTAATTCAGAAAAATCTATTTGCCACTGTTGTCCCAGATAATTCACTTTTCCAATTGTCCCTACCTGATTCATGTTTTCAGTCTTAGGGTTATTTTTCAGACACAGTTGACATTCTTTTGTCACTAATTGCACTATGGTACAGAAATTTCTTCCTATGATCTGTTTGTTTAAATGTTTATACAAGGCATTACTTCCCCAGTGTGTTATGTTCTTCTTGTATCAACTTCCATAATTGATTATAGGGGATCACTGTTTGCCCATCAGGTATTTTTATCCAACCCTTTTCATTTTCCTGTCCTTCCAAGTCTTCAGTTAGTTTTGTATCTTCTTTAGAGTACCTAGGTTTATTTTGCTCAATTACCAGTTTACTGTCAGGAATTAAGGACATCACCTCAACCCTTTCTGTTTCTGCTGCCTGTTTAGCCTCACGATCAGCCACATTATTTCCAATCTCTTGATCAGTTACCTCTTTGATGTCCTTTACAATGTACGATAGCCCCTTCATTGGGTAATTGTACAGCTTCTAACAATCATAGAATTTCTGCTGCATGTTTAATTTGTCTTCCATGGGTATTTAAAAAGTCCTCCTTCTTTCCAAATTGCTCCATGTGCATGAACTACACCAAAGGCATATTTGGAATCAGTCCATATGTTTATCTGCTTGTCCTTTGCCGACTCCAAGGCTCTAGTCAAGGCTATTATTTCTGCCTTTTGTGCTGAGGTGTTAGGGGGTAAAGGTTTAGCTTCTATTATCTTTGAAGTTGTAGTTATGGCATCGTTAACCATCTTTAACAAAGCTGCTGCCATCAGTGAACCAGGAATCTGCACCCTTCAGAGGCTCCTCCTTCAGAATCTGGTTAGCTCAAATATACTGTCTCTATAGTGGCCAAGCAATCGTGAGTCAACAGTTCAGTAGGGGTTTCCTGAAGGAAAGATGCTGGATTCACAACATTGGTGATCACACTTCAAGAAACGTGATGGCAATAGCCAATGTGTACATTTTTGTACTGCATGTGATACTAACACGGTGATCTTTTGTCCCAGTGTAAATTTTCAGGCCTCTTGGATGTTTAAGATAACTGCTGCCGCTGCTCTCAGGCATCCAGGGCAGCCTTTACTTGGTTCATCCAGTTGTTCTGAAAAATAGGCCACTGCTCTTCTATAAGATCCCAATCTTTGAGCCAAAACCCCCAAGGCAGTTTGCTGTTTCTCATAGGAATATAGCCAAAAGTGTTTAGTTATGTCCAGGAGCCCCAGAGCTGGAGTCCTCATGAGTTCTGTCTTTAAACTTTGAAACGCTTCTTCAGCTTGATCTGTCCATTTTAGAAAGGTTGGATTTTCTTTTAGCAGCTCATATAAGGGTCTTACCAGAACACCATAATCATGGATCCAGAGTTGACACCATCCTGTCATTCCCAGAAATGTCCGGATATCTTTAACTGTGGATGGTCACAGTGTTTGGCAGATTGCTTCCTTCTTAGCTGCTCCAAGTTCTGGTTGTCCTCCTGTTATTTTGCATCCTAAATAAGATACTTGAGTTCGAATTAGTTGAGCCTTCAATTTAGATACCCGGTATCCATTTAGCCCCAGAAAGTTTAACACTTCTACAATCCATTGAACACATTCTTTCTCAGTTTTGGTAGCAATTAACAGGTCATCCACATACTGTAGTAAAGTTCCTGTCTGGGTGGGTGCTTCCCAGAATTCTAATTCTAGTGCCAACTGATTTCCAAAAATGGTCAGAATGTTTTTAAATCCCTGAGGTAACACCCTCCGGGTGAGCGGGTGAGCTGTCCTTCTTCCTGTTTCAGGGTTTTCCCATTCAAAAGCAAATAAATGTTGACTTTCTTTGGCCAGGGGCAGACAGAAAAATGCATCCTTTAAGTCCAGAACATTAAACCACTCCTGGTTAGTTTTCAATTTAGTCAATAAAGTATACAGATTAGGTACTACTGGATGAATATCCTCCACAATTTTGTTGATTGCTCTGAGATCTTGAACTACTCTGTAATTTTTCCCACTGGATTTCTTTAATGGCAAGATAGGAGTATTATATTCTAATTCACATTCAATTAATAATCCACATTTTTTAAAAATTCTTTGTTTCCCTTTCGATCCTCCAATTTTAAGGGATATTGTTTAATTCTAATTGGGCAGCTCCCCCTTTTATTTCTACTTTAACAGGCAAAGCATTTTTTTGCCTTACCTGGAACTTCAGATGCCCATACTCCCAGATACACCTGATTAAGGGTTACTTCTATTTCAGAAAGGTCCTCCTGTTTGCTCTTCTGTTGAATTAAACTCAAAACTTCAATTACTTGATAGTTTTTGACTCTTAATTCCATTTTGCCTTCTTTAAATGTTGCTTCTCGCCCTAATAAAGATTTTTGGAGGATTTGGCATGTATAAAAATTTATGCATTCCTATTTGTTTTCCCAATTTATACTCTAAAGGTTTCAGAAAGATTGCTTTTCTTTGGTTTTGTTTCCTTTTTTTTTTTTTTTTCTTGGTGGCCAGTAGCTCCCACATCTGTAACAAATTATTTTCTTCTGATTTAATGTCGAATAAGTTGCTCCTGTATCCACTTAAAAATTCCACTTATTTCCTCTAGTTCCTCGTTTTAATGTAATCAGTGGATCTGCTAGGGTAGATTTCCCAGGTCCCTTGTCAGTCTAGTTCCAATTCAGTCACCGGAGCCACCCCATGGCACTCCCCCCAGGGCAGTCTCACTTCCAACATCCAAACCCCTTACAGTATGCACACTGATCCCATCCCACAGAATTCAGTTTCTCAACTCTGCCTGTTATTCCTCCTCTCCCTCTGCCTCATCCTCTCACATTAGTCCCTCCACCAGTTTCTACTTGTCCCAAAGCAGCCACTGTAGCCGTGCCTATAGCATGACTCAGCTCTTTCTTCTCTACATGTTTAAGATTCCGATACACTCTCCACACTTCTTTAACATTCTCAAGTCCTTCTGCTCTGTTGCCAGTGACAGCAACCTCTTCCTCCTTATCAATAACAGATAGGGCAGATGCCAAGAGTGCTCCTCTCAGAAGTACCTGTGATACATAATCCCCCAACCTATCATCCTGATTACTCTGGGTTTTTTGTTTGTTTGTTTGTTTAACTTTAAACATCATTCTCCCAATATCACAGGCTGAACAGCATCTCTCCAGCTTAGCTTTCTGTTTTTTCCTGTCCTTTTCCAAAGCCAAAATTAGGGACCTGGCAGAGCTGTATTAATTTCACATTCTGTCTGCCACTCTGGGTGGTTTCTTACAAGTGAAAAATGTATCTGCATACATCACTTCAGCCCGTTTTCCCTGCCGCCTCAAAAACAACATCAATTGTAACAATGTATTATAATTCAGAGTTCCATTTTTAGGCCATTTCTCCTGATCCCCCAGCGTATACAATGGCCAGCATTGGTTACCATATTTCACCAACGTTTTCTTATTTACTGAGCCCCCAGGAAACCCTCCCAGTTCTTTCCAATGTGCCAAAAATGCACCCTAAAGTACTCTTTTTCACTCTGCCAATTTCCCATTATCAATCTTGCATTCACACACATTAGTGGAGTGCCTCAAGGGTCAGTACTGGGACCGGTATTATTTAATATACACATGAGGGAATTGAGTGTACTATCAGCAAGTTTGCTGATGACACTAAGCTGGGAGGAGTGGCTGACACGCAGAAGGCTGTGCTGCCATCCAGCGAGACCTGGACAGGCTGGAGAGTTGGGCAGGGAATAACGGGATGAAATATAACAAGGGAAAGTGTAGAGTCCTGCATCTGGGCAGGAACAACCCCAGGTTCCAGTATAGGAGTGTAGGGGAGAGGGACCTGGGGGTCCTAGTGGACGACAGGATGACCATGAGCCAACACTGTGCCCTTGTGGCCAAGGCAGCCAATGGCATCCTGGGGTGTATTAGAAGGGGGGGTGGTTAGTAGGTCGAGAGAGGTCCTCCTGCCCCTCTACTCTGCCCTGGTGAGACCCCATCTGGAATATTGTGTCCAGTTCTGGGCCCCTCAGTTCAAGAAGGACAGGGAGCTGCTGGAGAGAGTCCAGCGCAGGGCAACCAAGATGATTAAGGGAGTGGAGCATCTCCCTTATGAGGAAAGAAGGGAGCTGGGTCTTTATAGTTTAGACTGAGGGGTGACCTTATAAGTGTCTATAAATATATAAAGGGGGAGTGTCACGAGGATGGAGCCAGGCTCTACTCAGTGGCAAACAATGATAGGACAAGGGGTAATGGGTGCAAACTGGAACACAAGAGGTTCCACTTAAACTTGAGAAGGAACTTCTTCTCAGTGAGGGTGACAACACTGGAACAGGCTGCCCAGGGAGGTTGTGGAGTCTCCTTCCCTGGAGACATTCAAAGCCCGCCTGGACACATTCCACGCAGTTACAAGCATACTGTGATACACATGGGATACCACAGACACGCTCCACGCAGTTACACTTGAGACAGAGACTAGAACTGTATCAAAAGAACAACAATTAACAGTTATAACAGTCTGTCACCAATACCAAAATCACAAGACCAAAATCATCACTATAACAAACCACAAAATAGACACTCCACACAGTTACAACACTTGAAACAGAGACAACAATTAATAACGCATTTATAACAGTCTGTCACCAATACCAAACTCACAAGACCAAAATCATAACTGTAACAAGCCACAACATAAGTCAAATACCAGTAAAATCCAAAACCTTTTCTACAAGACACCCACTGCGTCTTGCAGGACCCAAACCACAAGATGCTCTCTGCTTCTGTGATTGTATACCGGTAAAACCAAAACCTTTTCTACAAGACACCCACTGTGCTTGCAGGACAAGATGCCCCCTGCTTCTTGTGATTGTATACCGGTAAAACCCCAAACCTTTTCTACAAGACACCCACTGTGTCTTGCAGGACCCAAACCACAAGGTACCCTCTGCTTCTTGTGGGTGTACACCAAACAGGCGCTAGCAGCCGGGTATACGCCTTTACCCACGAGATTTCCTATCTCGATTTAAGGAAGGCTTCCAAACCATGCATACGCTTACCAAACCAATTTACCAAACCGAGATGCCCCCTGCATCTTACAGACTATATAAAAGAAAAGAATACCTTTTATGAGATGGTCCTTGTCTGCTCCCGCAGTGATCCAAATGAGTTGAGGGGTCCCTCCTGGAAAAACTCCTGATGTCCCTAGGGCGCCCTGTCCTCAGCGGGCCCTGCAGCCGAGCAGAGAGGGTCCCATCTGAGGTGCCAAATTGATTTTGGAGAAAATGCCAGGAACTCGCCAACAAAGTTTTAAGTTGACAAGCAGGCATTCTTTATTGCGGCACCGGGAGACATGGGGAATAGCTCCTCCAAACGTGTCTCTCCCAGGCATCAACCAGGCTGTGATTATATTGCCCTTAAACATACATATTCATTAGATTACATACATTACATCATACTTCTTAGAGAATGCCTCCTGTATGCATACAAAAATGTGGTAGTGGGCTTTTGGACCCCCGGTGGTTATTTCTTCATCACTTTGGTTTAGGATCATTTTCATATCAGTAACCACCAGGTGGTTCTGGCAAAGCTTATTTTAGTAATTTTGTTTTCTCTATACTTGCTAACAAAGCCTAATGTTCTTGAGGTTACTTATTTACAACCCAATTCTTCAATCAACCCCATTCTTCAATCCACCTTATTCTTCAATCAACCCCACTCTTCACTCTGGACCCCTCTCACTTGCGACCTCTTTTGTTGGGATGTAAAGTGTAGATCTCAGCAAGTCTCCATAAACACATTCTATTTTAAGGAACTGTGTTTTGACTCTTTGCTCTACTAATGCTACTGAAAAACAGAAAAGTACTGCCCCAGAAACATCATTTTAGAAAGCAACTCCACTCCATAAGAATGATACACTCAATGAGCTCCTCAAGATGTGTCTCCACCAAAACCAAAATTGGGGCAAGGATGTTCTGTAACGTTTTCACACTCTTCGCCTTGCTCTGCGTGCACTCCCCTACAGGAGCGACGAGGGGAGCACACACCTGATCTGCAGGGTGAGTGGTGCATGTGGCGGGGAGCCCTACCCAGGAACGGCCTCTGCCAGGTCCCAGGGCGCCAGGCCTCCCTGCCGCCAGCCGATGGGCCTCTCCCGCCTCAGCCCACCCTCAGCCTTCCGTTTGCCGGCTTCGGGCCCGTTTTCAAGGCAGGTTCTCGTTTCTTCCCCTCCCCCACGATAGCTCCGTTCCCCTCCCCCAGCCCCAACGGCAGTGCTGCGAACTCTCTAGAGGTTCCTCGTGCCCGGAGAGCCGGTTTCTAGGCAACACTGCTTACCTCAAGCGCGTTGCCACGGTGACGGCTCCCCACGCCCGGTCCCTGGCCATGCAATGGCAGCCCCTCTCCGGGAGGCCCCGGCACTTCCCGCACTTCCTGGCCTGGTCGCCAGCTGCAGGGTACCGCAGGCTGCCCTCCCCTCAGACTTTTGGCCGGAGGCACCAAGCCCAGGCAGGGCTCCCAGCTCTGCCTTACACACTTGCAGGGCCACTGGCTGCTCCACGGCTCCAAAAAATCAATATAGGAAAAAATGTTGTTCATAAAAGCAGAACCAGGAATTCAGGCAAGCAGTGCATTCAATGCACTTCACAAGCTCCAATGTGGTCATGGTTCAGCTGATGAGCAAACGCGTTTTGTTTTACTTCCATACACACCATGCATGCGTCCTCTGAAGGTGTCTAAAGGAGTTGAACAGTGTGTGTTTGCACAGCCAGAGAGGAGCCATTATGAAGGGATCCATTTGAGCGGAAAACGAAACCCTAGAAACATTAGGTTTCCTGTTCTAAGGAATCACTCTTACCATTCTACTAGTGAACCAGCAAGTAACTGGTAAGTAAAACCATAGCATTAATCCTTAGCAGATTTGCATAATGGAAAAGCCTTCTTTTATCAAATGGGATATTACTTTTGAGTAACTGGAAGAAGGCCCTTTAAAATTAGAGGGAGCAAGGCCACTAAAAAGAGAAAAAACTGCAAAGCAGAAGTAAATTACTCGTCCAAGCAGAACCTGATACAAGACAAACCTT